AGTATTTTGTCGAAAACGGGATACAACCTTAGACATGAATTCCGGTTGAAAGAGTGTGAGCTATTGTCAAGACGGTGACAGACGAGAGAACATACGAATTCAAAGTCTGTTTGAAAAAAAAATGCGTGGCAGAGAAAAATAAAAAACGAGCATAGTCGGTAAACAATAACATAATAAGATTCATGCACCATGAAAACAAAAATATTCAAATATTTTGTCGAAAACGGGGTACAGACTGAATATAACATGTACGGAAACATTACTGCCGTCTGAAACTAACTTTTAATTTTATTCAATTAAATAGTGACATCGCATGGAAGTAAATATGACGTCATTGTTTACTTGCTCATCATAATATTCCAGCCCAGCTTACGTTAGGCATACAGCGTTTGACATTGGTGTTACTATACTACTATACTGTCTATGGTTAAACAGGGCCCAAATTGATAGGGAGTAAAACACGGAAGTGGAAAGGCTGTCCATGCATTGACCAATCACACAAGAGCTCACAAACACCAATGAAATATTTGTTGTTGTACTTAACAAAGGGGTTTGGCACTAAAAACAATGGAACATTTATAGGCTTAACGTTGGATTTAGATCGTGTTATAATCCAAATCCCCGAGAAAGAGTTGTTTGTTTTATTTCCACTTTGCAGTATATCGTGGACAGTATTTGTATACTTTGTTCTCCACAGTCACCAGCATAAATGTCGGATTGTTCGGAAGCATGAGACTGTAATGTATAATTTCATTCATTAATGTTGTACGATGACGATCTCCGAGTCCCGCGTTGACTATGTCCCGGTCTGTTTTCTTACTTACTGTCAGTGTCTGACTGATATATACAAAATTGATCAAGTGAACGTCAGAATAGTAAAACAAAAAAGTAACATAGTTGCCCATGCCAAGAGAGCAGCAGAGCCAAAACAATCGCAAATGTAGACCTTTGCATAGAAATGAACACTAAATACATCTATCCCGGCCACCAATCGAATCATCAATCTTCATGAGTGACGTAACTGGCATTTCCATCTATTTGCTTCTATTCCCACTATCCTACAACGCTCAGGTGAATGTTGTCAAATTCGCGAGTGTGTGTATTTTTGTACAGTGGTGTAAACATTGCTACAATCAAAGACGCGCTGAACAGGAAGTCTATTCTTGACTAGTACCCTTGTCATTTTTTGGAGAGTAGAGGACCATTTATACAGGGGACGCTCCAGTAAGAAATTGTTAAAATTGCCTGATTGCCCATATCAAAATCCTGTATTGAAACAAAACATATTCTGTATTCACTAAAAAACAACGTTGTTATGTTTCTAGATTTACAAGGAACTCAAAACAAAAGAAACAGTTCGATCCAAACAACCTGCGTCCTTGAAAATCAAGTCTTATCACCCTTGCGTTTCTGAGCGAAAATACGTTGATGCCAAAAACGACAAAATCTTCTATGATTTTTTGATAATATCATTAATTCAGTCCAGCGGTTAGATAGGTTATTTATTAGAGACGCTCTGGGAACCAAAATTGACAATGTAAATCACTCCGGCGACGAAAAATCAGCAATAATAGCCAAGGAGGTGAGGAACTGAATTTCAAAAACATATTTTATATATATAGGTCAGAGGTACATTACTTGGGGTCTGCAACTACGGTGACATGATACCAAGATCCCGTTACAATCTCGCTCTTGCATGAGCATTCCAACTCAGAAAAATGCGAATGTGCATGCCCGAGGTAACTAGGATACTGGGATGTCCAGGTGGATCAAAATAGCTGCTCACGATATGACGGATTACGATAACTATATTTTCTGTACATTTTCGATGTATTATATTTTTTCACTATGAATGTGGTAACACATGTTTTATTGTTTTATTACAAATCGCCTATGTCATGTCAGAAGGTTGTAGCATCAATCTCGCTATCTACGAGATGAGACTTGAATGGGATCTTGACAATACAGTACTATGCGCGTTGCAAACCCCAAGTAATGTACCTTTGATAGGGTATATAATTAGGTTGTTTTTGTTATCTATACTTTTGTGTACTTGTAGTTTGTTTATTTTTTTAATGTGTATTATATTTTTTTTTCTTTAGTTTTGTAATTTTGTAAGTTTAGTTTCATAATTGTAGTTTTAAGTGACCTTACTTCTGTACTTTCTGGTGTCAGTGTTGTGTAATACTTAAACGTACACAGTTAGATACAGTAATATGTGGTGCAATAAGAACTGGGTACTACTGCAGGGGATACAGTTATAAGTGGTGCAATAAGAACTAGTACAGTAGCTATTGGCCTGACATGTAGGCGTGAGTGGCGCCTTTGCCGGCCGAACGACATCAGTGTTTGGTGTGCCGCGGAGGATGCAACTCACGCGACCTTGTTAAGCTCAGTAGCCATTAGCTGCAGTTCTGTAGCTCGCTACAGCAAAACCAAGTGAGCTACAGAACTGCAGCTAAGTAGCCATGTGTGCAGACCGATATCCCGGAAGCATTGAGTGGTGTGTGATGTATACATATAGTGACATAAAACCAAATAAAACAAATATAAGTAATGAAATGCGTCACATTATGCGGTGATATTCCTCTTACCGGTTCCGCTTGTACGCAATAAAACACGAACAATAATAATCCAGTTACCGAATATTTTAACAAGTAAGCCGCCATTTTGCCTCTAAATGTTATCCTCGTTCAAACGCAATCTAGTAATAACGAAATATCCATGACATAGTTTTGTAATATCTGGAAATTAGTATAAAATACTTATTTCGTATTACATATTATATACATTATTAATACAAAACAAGTACATATATAATCAGTTTTCATTGTTTAACATTGTGTTGTGAAATAATAATTTCAACGAGGTTGAAATTTCACGCGTCTTGTATAGTAATTATACATGTATTTTAAAATCAATGAAGCGAATTTCATTAAAATTAAAAAAAGGAAAAATATAACAACAAGATTTAGGAATATAAGAACAATATTGCGGCAAAATAAGATGAATTTAAATCTGGACTCAACAGTAACACTTCCAGTCTGTTGTATTGTACATAAGACATGTCTTAGTAACTGAATGTCATTTGTCAAGTCGTTCATGATTGGCCAACTGAAACAATGGCGAACCTCGCGTCCTGAATATACTATTAAAATGCAGGCTCGTCCTTTTAATTATTACGTGACAAGAAAAACAAATTAGCCGTTTCATGAAAAAAATATGTTTCCTACTATTTATGAAAATAGCATTCACCCAGTCTCTTGGGAAAGCTGTAGTCAGAAAGTATGTTAATTAAACCACGCCCACTTCTGCTGTCAGTATTTGCGTTTGTATTCATAATCAATCGTCTAATTGTTTGCCCTGGATACGGCCGTCTAGTAACGTGCGGCTGGATCGTACTACAATATAAATACTGAGCCATAGCGGATCGTTTAGGGTGAAAATATCAGCGGAACGGGAGCCCTGATCGTTAAACATGACAACCGAGGATACAAAAAATTATCTCTCAACGCGGGAAATCCCGCAGTTGTTTGAGGTGAGTATGCAATGCAATACAATTCAGTGTTGAAATATATCAAAGTTTAACGCTTTAAATACGAGTGTTGTCATACGATACATGTATAGGAACATTTAATAACAGTTGAAGATTCTGGTCGTCTAATGTAATATTACCAAATCACACCGTGTGAAGATTATGAGTTATATATATATATATATATATATATACACACACACTGTTGCTAACATGTGACATTTAAACACGACATGGGGTTGTCCTCTGAGTTGATTGTGTTATCAACCATAAAACAGCACCAACAGTGTTGCTACAGATTCACGATTTTCTGGTGTGTATGTCGAGCTAATCATGTCATCCATTTTTGTGTTTCAATAATTTCGAAACGTTATGTTATTTTTATATGTGTCTATTTCCTTCAGTTTTACCTTCACGTCCGTTGGCAACAGTGTATGTAATTCACTACTACTTGTCATTCAAGTTTACGCTGATTAACACTCACAGATTCACTGACATTTGCTCATATTGACTGGGTTTTCAATTATCTGGTTGTATTGTAAAAAAATGATGTCACGTGTATTAGTGAAAACCATTTAATTTTCATTTGTGTGAAAATTTCACTGCTACGTTATCAAAAATACGGTATACATCAATGTCGTGAAGACCATGAAATAAGGATTAAATCGAAAATCAAAAAAAATTGTAACATCATTAATATCTATGAGATGATGAAGTGTAAATTCCAATATATGGTACAGTGAATGTCTTCAGTTATAGATAACAAGGTCAATTCAGGAAATGTTACCATTTATGCTTACATCCTGTGGTCAACTGTAAAAACATCGCAGTCTAGATTACTATCCCATTTAGTATCTCAGTTGATCTCTTGTGGCAAGTTTGTTACTAAGTATAAGAATAAGAATTGTTAATAAGACCATAGACCTTTAAGGTCTAAGATAAGACTAAATACTTCAAAATCCATGAAGGTGTAAAACAAGGATGTGTTTTAAGCCCCCTACCCTACTCAATTTATATTGATTAAATACTTCAACAGAGTAATGAATACATCAAATAAATTATGAACAAACAATTAAACAGCAAATGGTACAGTGCCATAACTACACTGTTAACTGAAATAAACCAACCACAAATTTTCGAAACAACAACTATACTGAACGACAGAGAAACCAAGAAATTAGGTTTGGAAGTTGAAAAAATATATAAATTATACTGGAAAAAGGAAATAAACATAGGGACTGATGTTAACCAAAATAACAATAACAGAAGAAATAAACTGAGAACGTACAAAAATTTCAAAAATGAATTTACTTTAGAAAATTATGTGATCAAAATAAAGAATGCCGAACTATGTGAATGTAGGTAGTAGGTTCCGATTGAGCAATCATAAACTAAAAATTGAAACAGGGAGGTACACCAAACCAAAAACCGAAATAGGAAAAAGAATCTGCAAACTGTTTTCAAATAACAAAGTAGAAGATGAGTACCATTTCATGATTGAATGCCCCTTTTACGAAAAATCGCGGAAAGCATTATTTGAAGAGACTACTAAGCACATTATAAATTTCACGAATATGAGTGACTACAACAAATTTTTCAAATTAATGGGTGATACAAATCTGAATGTACAAATACCAGTTGCCCAATTTATCAAAAATAACACGAACCTTAGACAGCAACATCTTCTGGCAAATTAACATAAATACTTTTCTCCTTTAATAGGTTTTTTTTCTCATTTCCATCTTTCATTGATTTACTGTTTATTGCTTTTATTATTATTATTATTTCATCTATTTTTTTTCAATATTATTACCTACATATATCAATAGTTTTTTTTTGTAATTGTAGTCTGCTGATTTTTTTAAACCATTGTCGTGCTTTAGACAGTAATTCTTGTAAAATTTGTATGTTTTATATATGTGTTTTAGCAGTTAGTGTAACCATTTTAATTCCTTCTGAGGAATTTTAAGTGTTTCAATAAACCTATATAAATGAATTTGCAAAAATGTTATTCGAATCAAAACTTAGGGTGAGGTGGAACACAAATAATTCCAGGGCTTTTTTTGGGCAGATTATGTAGCTTTAATAGCTAATAATGCAAGTGAACTTCAATGTATGCTTTATTTAGCAGCTCATTTTGCTAGTAAGTAGAAACTTAGTAATAACCAATCCAAGCCACAAAAAGAACACAATTTGGAAACTAGGAAACTTGACATTAAAAGAAGGTAAAACATACAAATATTTAGGCATGGTTATCCATATCATAAACACTGAATGATCATACACAATTTACTGAAGTTTATAAAAAAAGGAATGACAATCTTAGCATATGGCAAATCAATAATTAACCAACACAAGAGTTTTAATAGATTTGAGTACGGTGATGTGTTATGGCATAGTATAATCATGCCATCAATGAATTATGGGTGTGGAATATGGTTTCAAGATAGCAGAGAGGTTAAACAGAAATTACTAAGTTTACAATACCAATTTGGGAAATTTTTATTCAAAGTAAATAGAAATGTGGGAGGACCTGCAGTATGGGGACTTAGGATGGGAAGACTTGAATTACATCCAAGATAAAGAGCAGATTCAATACCTGGATATCCTTCAGAAAATGAAAAACAATAGATGGACTAAAATAATTTTTAAAGAAATGAATATTCAGTATAAAAACTGGCTTGGAATTGGCCTAAATATGTAGAAAACATTCCAGAGACTTAGGGCATGAATCATATCTATGGAAATGAAATACCCCAAAATCCAAAATGGATAAGAAGTTTTAACAAAATCACTAAAGAAAATGAAATAAACATGCTTACACAAACAAAATTTGGAGAAGATGAAATCTTTAAAACACTACTGTTCCACGCTGGCGCTCTCTTATTAGGATTGGTTCACATTAGCGTTGGATATAGTGGTCAAGGAACTGATCAGCGGCGGTGATATAAGTGAGGAAGCCCATATGCCCTGATCGTGGACAATATTAGAAAGCTCACAGTAGCTAGGGATGTAGCTGACAATGATTTGTTGCAAGCAAATTTAGCATGCATTTAACTTTTCGCTTTGGAAATGCCAGGGTGTTTGGAAAACAACGGACTTTGCTAGTATCGATTTATCAACTACTAAAGCCGAGCTAAGCAGAGCAGATTTCAGAGCCGACACTCTGTTTGACGGGAAGATGTCAGGGACTGTCGCCGATTTGAATTTCGAAACATCAAACCAACTTACCAAGAAGACCCTGTTTTCGGCGCACTGAGCAAGAGCAGAGCTTTACAGAACAGTAACTCTTTCAAATATGATTCTGTTGAGAAAGCAGAAAAGTGCATATTATCACCAAAGGGGTGATTCTAGGGGTAATCCAAGTAATTACCTGCCTACAGGTCGAGGTAAGGGTGCCGATGGCAATTCTGAGAAAAGATATACCGGTTCGAAAGTGCCACCGACTAATAAAGAATTATCCTGAATCATCTTACGATTTATTAAGAATAAATTCAGGAAACGATCATATTGTTTATTGTGTAAATCATTTATGTGTAACAGGGTTAAATGTACCTCAAAAGCCCTTTTCATGGCTATTTCCAGGCATAAAATCTGCCAGAGCGGAAGATTATTTCCAAGGTGATCTTATGTCAATGTCCCACAATCGTTAAAAAAAAATCGAGGGGGTGGGACGTTCGGAAATTCACCGGGAATCGGCGCACTCTCCCAGGCGGGATGGACACGTTCCCACAGAATCCTCAGTGTAGACCCTATTGCAGTCGCCTCAATTGAGCAAACAAAATGGCTGACTTGCAAAAAAGAAATTGACTTTGTTAGGGGGCGGGCAATGAAACAGGTAACAGCGTATTCGATGCTGCATGGCCAATCGTCAGGTATGCTAAAGAGCCCAAGATTGCCGATGGGGGCGCCATTAGCAAAACAGTCAATATTTCAGAAACCAATTGCTTTCCGCTTAAGGGAAAGATTCTGTGTGGAAAAAATTAATAAAGGACGAGTGGGTTTTAAACACAGTCCATTTCGGTTACAAAATACCATTGACCAGGCAACCCAATCCCAGTCATGGCTTGTGTACCCGTCTCCCAAGGGACAAGGTCAAATGAGAAGCTCTGTTACAGTTGGTAAAAAGCTTGTGTTAACATGTGCGGTGTTTCTGGTAAAGAACCTATCGGAGCCCGGTTTCCACTCCAGAGTATTTCTAGTCGAGAAATCTTCAGGTGGTTAAATCCACTCAACAGGTTTGTAATAGCAGACAAGTTCAGAATGATAACATGAGCTGCCATATGAGTGAGTCTATGCATGGGCGAATGGCTAACTTTGTTGGACCTGAGAAATACATCCCCAGAGTCAGAACTTGTTAAAGTTCACAATAGAAGGGACAACTTATCAGTGCAGATTTCTCCCATCCGGTCTCAAATCGGCTCCATATGTATCACAAAAATCCTAGAAACAGTAGTGTCAGTATTACACTGGAGGACCTTACACCTTCCTTCACGAGACAGGTTGAACTTAATATTACACTAGAGAAGGCTTTGTGTTCGGTAAGAGCCATTTTGCACTACGAGTGCATGACAGAGTCCTTACGTTTTAATCAAAGGGCTATGTTTGTGTGTCATTATACGGGCAAAACTAGCACGGCAGCCACTCCTAACACCTTATCTCGTTGGTTTAAGGAAACCGTATACAGAGCCTACAACAAAGATAAAACTGACTCCATCAACTGAGGGGTCTACTTTGGCCAATGTATTGGAGTCAGGATATTGGTAAAGTCCCAATACATTTGTTAATCACTACCTGAAAGACCTCTCTTACCAGTCTGAAGGAGTATTTAGACTGGGTAGGTTTGTGGCTGGACAACGTTTAATTGATGATCCATAGTGACAATTTAGTTAAGTGATTAATTGTTCTGAGTTAGTTTATATACTAACTTTCAGCCTATACGTTATTAGGCCAGTATTGTATTTCTTGCTGTTTAAATACTCTTGGCAGTCACATGGAGCTGCTAGGATGTTCGTTTTGGCATTAAAAGTGTTCACGATTTCATGTTACGGATGATACATTTTCTTTCATTTCTTTTGCCTTATTTAGCTCGGGACGCTAACCAGTTGTTAACAGTACGTAAGTATCATCCTATATGACATAGTTTGTTAGAACTGGCGGTGAAGCTGCCTATTAGTTCTTCTAACTATGGAATATAGGATGATACTTACATATACGTCCGTAACTGCCTCTCCAAAATGATCAATATCAACGATGGTCGTATTTATAAAGGGAGTAATTTTTTTCTGATTTTTTGAACCATAAATAATAAAATGAAAGCATTCATTCAATTCAGTAGATTGAAGGGTTTGATAAATCATTTGTACAAGACTAGATGTAAAATATATTTGGTATTAAGGCTTATTATTTTGGCTTAAGGCAAACAAAATAATTTCTCTTTCCATTGAAAAAATTAAGATTATTGAATACAAACAAACACAACAAAAAACATTTCCTCCAGTATATAAAAATATATTTTGCCGTAATCCACCAAGTTATTTACTAATACCATAATTGTCTGACATAAATTAAGCGCCCAGGGTACTTAGTTCCAAAAATGTTTTTAATGACAATTTTAGTTCACCATATGACAGTTTCATCAATGTAAATGACTTACATGTAAATCCTTTGCAATCAACTTTGTGTCATCATATGTGTGTACAGTGTCTCTTTGTTAGATCAGTTAATAATAGGTTTGCAAATGGTGCACTAATTGTAGAGAGAAACTGATAATCGATCTTGGATTTAGTGGTCGAAATGAACCACTGACTTTTGAATTTGGTGGTGACCCCATTGAAAAACTGGTGGTCTGAAAAACCACTGACTTTTGAATTTGGTGACCCATGTTGAAAAACTGGTGGTCTGAAGAACCACTGACTTTTGAATTTGGTGACTGTCATTGAAAAACTGGTGGTCTGAAGAACCACTGACTTTTGAAATTGGTGATCGACCCACGTTGAAAAACTGATGGTAATTTAATACCTGAAGCTTAGTTGTCTTCTTTCAAGACAATTATTTAAATTGCAAAAATGCAAAAAAAAAATTCACAAAAACATGCAACTATGTATAGCTGAATGATATTTGCAGACACTCAAAAACAGTTGTGTGGTATAAGTATAATTTAAAACCAATAAAAAGGTGTAGATATGGGTTCTGCACTAATGTGTATTCTTTATTGCAGAGTTTGATGACTGGATTGATGTACTATAGACCAGAAGATCATTTAGAATACATGCAGGAATGTCTCAATAAGGCAAAAGAAAAAGGACCTGACAATATTAAATGGAATTCCTTTGTAGAAGATATCAAACGTTCTAGTCCATTGCCGCCCATCACTCCGTCCCTATCCAGAGAACCTACATTTCAAACAGGTAAATTATGTAATCCATTCACTCTATTTGCTCTCTTAGAGATGCATCTCAATAAAAGCAGACATGTATTTATATTTTTAGTACAGAATTTTCTCTTTTTTTCTTACTCAATATTTTATTTGCTATTTGACCATGTAAAATTTCTTTGGAAATTTCTAAAATTTCTTAAAATTTCTAAAATTTAAAATTTAGACCTAAAATTTCTTTGGAAAACAGGATTTGTAAACAATGTACTTTAGCAGACATAGAAGATGAAATGCATCTCCTCATCAAATGCCCAAAATATAACACACTGCGAATGGATATATTCTCAAATATACAGTTTCCTGATGAAACAAAAACTGACCAACAGAAATTTACATACTTAATGAAAAATTCTAACACAAATGTAATCAAACTTGTTGGAGAATTTATACACAGCTCGTTCTTAATGAGAAACGAGAAAGATACTTAACAAAACACTAAAATCTATCATTTATTATTTGCTATAGTTATTTTGTTATTTTTTTTTTTTTTTAATATCTTACTTTTGTTGCTATAAACTGATGGAAACACTGTATTTCTAAGGATGCAATAAATTATCTTTATCTGTAGGAAGCACACGATTGCATATTAATGACCTAATTTTCATAATAATTACTGTAAAATACTTTATTTTTGCTTGGCACTAATTTTCACAGAAGGAATAATAAAAAATAAAATCTAGCGAATAAAACCTTTTTCCGTATATTTTACATTCAACTTGTAAAAAATCAATGAAAATAAATTCCATACAGAACACCCAAAAAATCTTTTCAGTGAAAATTATTTCCAGCTAATATAAATTATTTTACAGTAGGCATTTTTAAGCCTTTTCACTTTTTTTCTCAGCTATTTACAGAATTAATCATTTTATAGGTATTCTACAAATATGTTGAGTACTACTCATCAAATTTCAGTGAAACTTGTTTTTTGATAATTCACAGATTTGATTACTTTACGGTTGGAATCTATGCATATAATGTATTAATTACCCACCTTATAGAAAAGGTTTCATGTGACCTCATAATGATG